TCACTGCAAGATCAAATTTGAATTATTTGGGAAACTATACTCTAATTCTAAATATCTTCTTCCCACCCATTACATTGCTATAAATAAACCACAAGATGGCTGTACTGAACTCTTAAGGAGTAAGGAAGGCTAGGTTCCCACTTCAGAATATTCAACAAAGTAATGGGCCAGGTGTGGTGGTTCAAGCCTGTAATCTCAGCACTTTGGGAGGTCGAAGCAAGAGGATTGCCTGAGTCCAGGGGATCGAGACCAGCCTGGGCAACTTGGTAAGACCTCATCTCTACAATAAATCAAAAAATTAGCTGGGCGTGGTAGCACATGCCTACAGTCTGTAGTTCCAGCTACTTGGAAGGCTGAGGCAGAAGGATTGCCAGAACCCAGCAGGAGGCTGTAATGGCCGTGAGAGTGCCACTGCACCCCAGCCTGTATGACAAGAGTGAGACTCCAACTCAAAAAAAAAAAAAAAACTTTGGGAGGCTGAGGTGAGTGGATTGCCTAAGCCTGCGGGTTCCAGGCCAGCCTGGGCAACTTGGCAAGACCTCGTCTCTACAATAAATCAAAAATTAGCCAGGTGTGGTAGCATGTGCCTGTAGTTAAAGCTACTTGGAAGGATGAAGCGAAAGGATCACTGGAGCCCAGCTGGTCGATGCTGGGATGGCCATGAGCGTGCCACTGCACTCCAGCCTGGTTGACAGAGTGAGATGCCAACTCAAAAAAAAAAGGAAAGAAAAAGAAAAAAGTCTGCTGGTCACCTGTTTCCTTCTTAAACTCATGGAAGCTAGGAACTCCCACCCCCTTCAACCCCCACCCCCTTCAACTCACACATTTAAGCACCTAGAGAAAAAGTTTCATAAATAAAGACCATTTTGCACAGACAACTCAAACTGAAAACAGTTTAAAAATAAAAGATGCAGGCCACATATTTCCTTGTATGGTAGGCAAATTCAAGATTAGGAACTAACACCTCTTGATATATTTCCCACTAGGTCTCATCGACTTCAAATAACAAGCCGAGAACCAGTTAGAAGTCCAAACTTCACTTGCATGCAGCCTACTTATGTAGTTAATCCTTACTGTTATCCCACATCTCTATAATAAAATAAAAAACACAAATAACAAGCCTATTCTGTGTAGCCCAATGACTCCAAAAAACTTTTTTTTTTTTGAGTTAGAGTCTCACTCTGTCGCGCAGGCTGGAGTGCAGTGGAGCACGCTCACCGCTACCGCAGCCTGACCTGCTAGGCTCAGGCGATCCTTCTGCCTCAGCCTTCCAAGTAACTGGAACTAACGGCACGCACAAGCTTGCCTGGCTAATTTTTTGATTTACTGTAGAGTCAAGGTCTCACTAAATTGCCCAGGCTGGTCTTGAACACCTTGGACTCAAGCAATCTTCTCACCTCAGCCTCCCAGAGTGCTGGGATTACAGGCTTGAGCCACCATGCCCAGCCTCCAAAAAACTCTTATCTGAAGCATCTGTCTGCCTCTCCTGACCTCTAGTTTGGCCATGGTCAACTGGACACATCTTCACTTGGAAGGCACCTGGCTACTAATTAACATGTCCCAAATGCACCTTATTATCATCCCCAAAACTTGGTCCTCTTCCTTGCTCCCTATTTCAGTGAAGTGTGCCACCATTCATGCACCCATCTGGACTGATTCTAATCCCGCCCTCTTTTCTGCTCCCACTGTCCCTGACTTCATATAAGCCCCCATGGGGGAGGAGGCGGGGAGGTGTGAACCACTACCAAAACAAACTACGTGGAATCTCAGAGCTTGTCTTCCTGGGCTTCTGATCCAGAAGCCTGGCTTTCTCGCTTTCTCCTTTCCTCTCTTCCTCCCTCCCGCCCCTGCTAGGTATCCCCTGTCAGCTCCTGGAAATGGTTTCAGTACTGGTGGGACCTCAGAACTGCCTTCTGATGTTGTCCATGTCACTCACTATCATTCCATGAATATTAGCTTCCCTTCTTCTCCTAGTCTACACCTGCCTCTCCTTCATAACAGCTCTGGGTAACCACCACCGGGAAGCCTTCCATGACCTCCAGGTGCTGCCATGACCTTCTACCTATTTTCCTGCAATCGTCTGTTTATAGTTCCAAGCATCTTAGAGGCGGGACTATGTCTTTGTTTCCTCAACACCTAGCACAGCACAGCAGTGCTCTATACACACGTGATGAGTAAATGAATGGATCCAACAGTCCCTAATGATAATGAGTCAGATGCTTGCTTAAGAGAAAACAACAGTACTTCTAAATCATTAATTAGAAGTAATTTTAAGTCGAGTTCTCTGTCTCTATGGCCATCTCTATGTCTGAAAGGAAACCACAGCAGTAAAAGCAATGTTCCTCTTGCTAGTCACGAGGATTCACCAGCTACTCCAACAGTTGACTCAGATTAGTAAGCTAAAATCTCAAATAACTGAAGCTCATGACTACACAGAACTATTATCAATGAATCAATATAAGCAAGTTACAAGAAACCACATCATTCGGGGAATGAGGAATTAGGAGGTGCAACTGAACAACGAAGAAGAAACGAAAGCAGCAGCCAACAAAGGGTGAGTAGCCACAACAGACATGAATAAACTCTGAACACCAAGACCCCAAAGGATCAGAAAAAAATCTGCAAACCGAGTAAGGCAAAGGAAAGTATCACTCAATACAGGTCAAAGCTTCTATCCTCTGTTCTACCACAGGCATTACTTCCAAGGATTATAATGCCCAAGAAACTGAGATTCGGTCTAATGAAGAAGAAATAATGGAGGCACACAACTGCATCTATTGATACTATTTACAAAAAAGACTCCGGGAAGTTAATTTTGACTATCCCCACCGCCTTTTCATAAGAAATGCCTTCTTAAAAAGAATTTGTGATTGGCTGGGCATGGTGGCTCACACCTGTAATCTCAGCACTTTGGGAGACGAGGCAAGAGGACTGCCTGAGCCCACGGGTTCAAGACTAGCCTGGGCAACTTGGCAAGACCTCCTCTCTACAATAAATCAAAAAAGTAGGCTAGGCTCAGTGGCTCAGCCTGTAATCCCAGCACTCTGGGAGGCCAAGGTGAGTGGACTGCCTGAGCCCAAGGGTTCGAGACCAGCCCAGGAAGCTTGATGAGATCTCATCTCTACAATAAATCAAAAATTAGCCAGGCAAAGTAGCACGCGCCTGTAGTTCCGGCTACTTGGAAGGCTGAGGCAGAAGGATCGCCGGAGCCCAGCAGGTCGACACTGGGGTGGCCGTGAGTGTGCCACTGTACTCCAGCCTGAGTGACAGAGTAAGACCAAAAACAAAAAAGAATTTGTGATTGCCCCAACATCCTTTAGTAATCAATCGACTGCAGTGTTAAACACTGAGTAATAATGAAGTGTTTTCCTTGTACTTTAAACACATAGTGGGAAATGACAAAGTCACCTAAATAACTCGTCTCTGAGGATAAAACATTTTTTTGAAACTTTAAACCAAATCTTAGTGGTTTAATGCCAGGACAAAAAAGTCAAATGACCTCACTACCCACTGAATGATCAGGTCTTTTGCTAAACACTGAAAAAAATGAAATCAGAGAAAATGGAGAGGCCACCTCTTCACCCTCACTGGGTTTACTAATGTGAAACCTAAGGTCATTCTGAGCAACAGGCTTCCAACAACTCCATCCTGCCCTGATGCCATCACCTACAGGTTCTCCTAAATCAAGCTGTAGTTTTTGCCAAAAATCTTCCACTATAGCTCAGAATGAAGTAAAATCCTTTGTTCCCAGAATCAGCAGACAACTGAACCCTAACTATCTATACTAAAGGCAAGGGCAAATCTCACCCAAGAAGTACAGATACAAAAGTTAAGACAAGGTGGGATGCAGCGGCTCACACCTATAATCCCTGCTACTTTGGGAGGCCGAGGTGAGAGGATTGCCTGAGCCCACGGGTTTGAGACTGGTTTGGGCAACTTGGCAAGACCTCATCTCTACAATAAATCAAAAAATTAGCCAGGCGTGGTGGCGCGTGTCTGTAGTTCCAGCTACTTGTAGGGCTGAGGTGGAAGGATCACCTGAGCCCAGCAGGTGGAGGCTGCAGTAGCCATGAGCATGCCACTGCACTCCAGCCTGGGCGACAGAGTGAGACTCCAACCCCAAAAAAAAAAGAAAGAAAGCTAAGTCAATGCAACGTTAACTAGGAGGCAGTTCTAAGATTTCTTTTCAAGTAAAAGGCTAAAATTTCTCTAATAAGAAAACTACTTGCACATAGAATTATCTTTTCCCCTCTTTAATATCAGCAATAGTAGCAGGCCTCTTAGGTCAGCATGTTCTTGGCAAATGTTTACTTTAAAAGACCACTGCCTGAACAAATTGCTCCAAAGCCTACTTCACCATTTACATAACTCACTTCAGTACTTTTCCAGAACACAGGCCCTTTGAAAAATGTAAAAAGCGTTTCGAGTGGTTCCTCTTCCCATGCCTGAGTGTTACTGACTACAGATTGCCTCACAACTCTCTGGCAGGATGTGAGAAACGCTGCAGACACAAAATCCCAGCAGGGCTGAATCACTCCCGCCAAGTCACCTCCCAACCAGGATTACTTAAGGAAAAGACCTCCCCTGAGCTCTGCAGCGTTCATATCCCGGGCTCAAACAAAGTTATAAACTTAGCCTCAGAAGCTTGATCAGAGCTCCCTGAATGCGCAGTCCCCCCCTTAAAATGTAAGTGACTGTGGCCGAGGCTCGCCGCCAAGCACAGTGGAGATGGAAGGCAGGACTGGTCGGGCAGAACAGGAGGCCCGCTGGCTGGACCCGGTGGACGGTGGCGCACAGGTCGCCCACCCTCCCTCGGGGAGGCCAGCCGGAAGCAGGGAAGTCAGGCGCTGGGCTCCGGGCGCAGAAACGGGCCCGGGTCCACGCGGACACGGGGAGGGGCTCGCTGCGGATGCTCAGGACGCCTGGCCCGGGAAGTCGGGGCGCCTGGGGCCGGGCCGCAGCGGCTGGGACTGTGCTCTCAGCCCGGCCGCCTCTCTCACCTCCTGCGCCGGCGGTCCCGGTTCCTGCCGAGGCGGTCGGACAGGCGCCCTAGGAGCGCGGCCAGCCCGGGACGCCCAGGCAGGAGACCCAGCAGCCGCCTCCAGAACACCGGCCCCGCCGCCGCCGCCGCCGCTGCCGCCATGGAGACTCGCCGCTTCCGCTTCCGCTCCCGGCGCGCGCGAACTTTATTAGCAACTGAGAGCGCGGACAAGGCGGCGGCGCGCAGGCGCGGGAGCCCCGGCCCAGGAGGGTAGGCAGCACCGGCCCCCTCCCGCCTCAGTGTCCCTTCTGGGGGGACACAGGCGAGGCAGTGGGTACGCTGCAGGAGGATGGTCGGAAGTCTGCGCGTTAAACCCGCAGGGAGACGTGCCTGGGGGTTCCGGGTGACCCGCATCCTCCACGCACTTGGCACGGGGCATGCGGGCAGGGATGCGGTGCAATCGCTCGAGCCCCGACACGCTCGGCTCCGACTCAACTGCTGTCAACACTGACTCCTCGTTGATGGGTGGTGGGATTACTTCTCAGGACCATTATCTATTTCAGGCTGGAATTTATAGCAGGTTAAACGTATACAACACCCCTGAGGTTTGACTTGTACAAAGTCTGTACAGACTTGTAACCTGGTTAAGGCTGACTCATCAAGGTGCACAGAACCGTGGAAAATCCCACCAGCTGTAAGGGCAGCCGTTCTTCACCTTGTTAGCCCCAGAGTCTGCAGCAAATCTGTGTGAGATGATACGCCCAAATTCACAGGCGTCACTGGCTCCTGCAAACGCGCATTTCTATGCTCAAGAAGCAACAGGAGCAAATCCCTGTATGCCAAGGACACTTTTTGCAGCTAATTTTTAAAAAGAAGACAACCTGGGCCAGGTGCGGTGGCGCACATCTGTAATCCCAGCACTTTGGAAGGCCAAGGCAAGATTATCGCTTGAGCCCAGGAGTTTGAGACCAGCCTGGGCAACATAGCGAGACCTCGTCTCTACCACAGATTTTTAAAATGAGCTGGGCATAGTGGCACACGCCTGTAGTCCCAGCTACTCAGGCAGCTGAGGAAGAAGGATCACCTAAGCCCAGAAGGTCAAGACTGTAATGAGCTGTGACTGTGCCACTGCACTCTAGCCTGGGCAACGGAGTGAGACACCCAACTCAAAAAATAAAAATACAAAAAGTGAAACCCTGCAGTATTCTGAAAGGCAGGAGAGAAGAGTTCTGATCTGTAATATGCAACTCCCTAGCTGGCCCACATAGGCTGGGATCTGGAAACTGGAAAAGGTGTAAGACATAATCACATCCTACCCCAGAGGAGTGCTGTGAGATTAAAATGATATGGACACACTGGAAACAACCTTCTGAACTCTGTTTCCACAGATCATCCAAGGAAATTAATTACACATTCCCACAAGAATGCTCATCTCAGCATTGTTCAGTGTATCAAAAGTGCAGAAGCAATCTGCAGTGGGGGAGTTGGTGAAATAAATAATGGTACATCCATACATCCACAAGATACAGTGTCCTAGAAGAATATTTAATGGCACTAAGTGTAGAGGCCAAATTACCAAAGAGTAGAGAGTATCTCATGTTGTTAAAAGTCAGAGAGTGTGTGTGTATGTATGGGTGTACGTGTGCAGACAAGCTGCAAATAAACACACCAAAATGTTTACATTCATGATTTGGGGCTATTCAAGAGTTTCCAATTTGTCTACAATCAACAACTATTTCAGATTGATTTTAAGTTTTCTTTTAAGCTTACATGGCTTTACAAATACTAGGTGGGCTGAGGTGAGTGGATTGCCTAAGCCCGCGGGTTCAAGACCTGCCTGGGCAACTTGGCGAGACCTCATCTCTACGATAAATCAAACAATTAGCTGGCGTGGTAGCACGCCTGTAGTTCCAGCTACTTGGAAGGCTGAGGCGGAAGGATCGCCGGAGCCCAGCCGGTCGAGGTTGTGGTGGCCGGGTGCGGCCACTGCACTCCAGTCTGGGCAACAGAGTGAGACTCCAACTCAAAAAAAACCCCAAATACTAGATGGTATTTGATTCACCTCTTCCAAGTCAGAAATGGTGAATCATCAAATTTCCTAACTTCCAGTAACTAGGATGAGACCATCCGTTGCATGGTTCCACTTTTGCACAGTGCCTGGCACATATCGTTGCAGAGTAAGCATTTGCTGAATGGTCACACCATCCTGCTCAGTGGTGAATGCTACATGGACCATGGAGCATCCTAATCACCCTGAAAAGAGTTCGCAGCTTTGTTTTTTGTTTTTTTTGGTTTCTGGGGGTTTTTTTTTTGCATGTGGTGCTTTGCTGTGTGAGATGTTAAGTGAGACAAACAACCATCATACCATCTCACTGGTAATTTCCAATCTCAAATAAATTGTAGTCACAGACGGCAATATCGATGGCACATTAAACTAACAAGTATTTACATTCAGGATAAACATCAGGGAATGACCCAGGCCCTTCTGAAATCACACACCGAGAGCCTCTGGCCTTCATGGCTATTTTGAAATAGACAAAGCTATAACCAGAGTGAGGCAACCACGACTTTGCCCCAGGACACATACAAGTAGAGGTTGCAGTAGTTGTAAACAATGGTTTTCAGAGACTGAGCAATTTTGAAATGGTTGCATTTATACAATGACAGCACGTGCATTCTTTCTGCTAGGAGATCTAATCTGGGTTAGTTACTGAAAACAAGTAGAGGAGATAAGTTCCTTCCAGATAACACAAGTGGCCTGGAGAGCCTGCCTGGGAGTGCCCTGTGTGTCCCAAAGCTGCTGTGGTACAGACACTACTACTGTGGATGGGGTTTCTGGATTCATACCTTGATGACCCCAGATGAGAAGGCATCTGTCCTCTGAGTCCTCCTCACCCTCCTGACCCCATGCCACTGGCTTCTTGTTAGTAGTCCCACTTGCTCCTTCCCAGACAGGAGGTGCCAGGGTTAGAAAGATAGGGTTGATGGTACTAACGGCAGATACCATGTCCTCCCAAACGGAAAGGGAAGCCCATTCATTGGAAGGAGAGTTGACGTCAGAGAGTAGTGGGCCACTGCCCCTGAGAGCGGGGCTGCTCTCCCAGGCAGGAAATGCCAGGAAATCCTGAGCCAAGGGTCCCTGCCTCCCTGCCTGTGATTCACTCCCTGAACCGAAAATCATGCCAGTGCAGGAGGAAGGCCCCACCTCCTCTCTCCTGCTCTGGGAGAGGGGATCTCTCCCAAACACAGGCTGTTAGCAAACTCAAGAGGGAGACCCACCTTCTGCCTCCAGGGGTGAGAAACCGGGGTTGATCATATGCTTCTGACAAGCCTGCTTTTATGGTAAAGGGAATGAAGCCTAGATGTAATGGATGGAATGAAACCAGCCTTGGGGCTGCTGCCTACCTTTCCCTCTATCCACCTCCCTTCTTCCAACCCCTCCTCTACCTTAGAATCTTTTTTTTTGAGTTGGAGTCTCACTGTCGCCCAAACTGGAGTGCAGTGGGACGCTGCCGACCACCGCAGCCTGGACCTGCTGGACTCTGGCATCTGGCAATCCTTCCACCTCAGCCTTCCAAGTAGCCAGAACTACAGATGCACGCTACCACGCCCAGCTAATTTTTTATGTGTTATAGAAAGGAGGTCTTGCCAAGTTGCCCAGGCTAGTCTCGAACTCGCGGACTCAGGCAATCCACTCGTCTCGGCCTCCCAAAGTGCTGGAATTACAGATTGAGCCACCGAGCCCGGCCTAGAATCTTTACATTTGCTCTTCTCGCTGCTCAGAAGTGTCTTCCCCAGCTCCCCTCATTGTTCTCAGCTCTGTCCTAACATCCACTTCCCCTAGAAACATCTTTCCAGATCATAGGATTTTATTTTCTTCCTGAAAAATAGGGTTGATGGGACTGATGGCAGATACCATGTCTTCCCAAATGGAAAAGGAAACCCAGTCGGGTGCGGTGGCTCACACCTATAATTCCAGCACTTTGGAGGCCAAGGTGAGAGGATTGCCTGAGCCCACGGGTTCGAGACCAGTCTGGGCAACTTGGTGAGACCTCATCTCTGCAATAAATAAATTTTAAAAATTAGCTGGGCATGGTGGCACGTGCCTGTAGTTCCAGCTACTTGGAAAGGCTGAGGCGGAAGGATCCCCTGAATCCAGCATGTTGAGGCTGCAGTGTTCAGGATCGTGCTACTGCTCTCCAGCCTGGGTGACAGAGTGAGACTCCAACTCAAAAAAAAAAAAAGAAAAGGAAACCCATTGATTGGAAGGAGCGTTGATGTCCTCTTTCATTCTCTCATTACTGCAATCTAATGGTATTTACTGATTTACTGTTGTATGTATTGTCTCCCTGTCCCCCTATCAGAGTGTGAGCCCATGGTCCTTGTGTGCTCTGAGCACCCTGAAGCGGGCCTGGCTCCAGACACACCACAGTGAGGAATGCACACATGGCAGAAAGCAGTGAACTCCAGAGCCTCCCAACAGAAGGAGAGAACCACCCAGTTTGCACTTTTCCACTAAGGGTGGGGGCGACAGTGTGTTGGCCTCCTAGGGAGTTTTCTGCCCTGCTGTATCCTATCAATGTGCAAGCCTCAAAGCTCAGCTCAAGCTGAATCCCTCGGCTCACGGGATCCTCCTGCCTCAGCCTCCTAAGTAGCTGAAACTTTTTTTTTGTAGAGATGAGGTCTTCTTATATCACCTAGGCTGGTCTCAAGCTCCTGGAATCAAGCCATCCTCCCACTTCAGCCTCCCAAATCGCTGGGATTATAGGTGTGAGCCATCATGCCCAAACTTCTCCCCGAGTTATACACTCCTTACTAAGCTGTTGCTCTGATCTTTTCCAGTCCCTGATACCAGCCCCCCCCCCCCCGCCAAAAAAAAAACAAAAACCGAAGACCTACCTTCAAACCTCTCTGGCATGGGGCAAGGGTTCCCTCCAAGCAAGGGTCAGCATATATTTTAAGAGTCAAATAGAAAATATTTCATACTCTGTAGGCCAGATAGTCTCAGTGGCAACTCTGGTTCGAAAGCAGCCACAGACAATACGAATAAGCCTGGTTGGATTCCAATAAAACTTTATTTACAAAAATAGTCCTCCCACCCATGCCCCTAAGTTGCCAGCCCATACATTAGAAAACAGCTTTCCCCACAGCCGTGGCCACATACCTGGCTTGGGCCTTGTGAGGCCTGTGTGCCCCTAGAACTG